CTTGTCACACAAAACAGAAAGGAAAACAAAGTCCCCAAAAGAAATTAACTCTCCAGGACAAATAGGACTCATCTACCCAGAGAACTGAAGAACTAGATGGTACACAGCTCCCACTACCCATTGTTCTAATCAGGCCCCACAATACGTGGACCCTGATAGAACAGAATCTCATATTGCTAACACAAAAAATCTCTACCAGACTGGTTCAAACTAGAGGGCTCTGGAGACTGTGGCCCTAAGATATCTTCAAACACTGAACTAAAACTAACTCTTAAAGTCACCTTGTAGCTAGATAAATTGATTTAAAAAAATAATGAATATCTCCATAAGTACTGTGCTCATTTAAAAAAATAAGATAATCTAAGAGAACAGTCAACAATTCCCTTTAAGCAAAGATGAGAATGTAAGGGGCAGGGAAATTAAACAAATGGAAATGGAACAACTAGAGGAGAATCATGAAATTGTTCATGCGTTGTGAGGAATGTAACCAATGCCACTTAACAATCTATAGAGAAATTGAATGTGAATCAAATCTGCTGTGTAAGCTTTCACTAAAAACAATAAATTACTATTTACAAAAGGACGAAAGAAAATACTGACAAATTGTTTATTGACAATAGCCTCTTAATTCCCTGATAACAGAAATAAGGAATTTAGGACACTTAGCTTTCATTTTAAGGTGACTTGGTGGTGCAGTGAGTTAAGCACTGGATAGTTTGAGCCTGCCAGTTGCTCTGCAAAAGAAAAGATAAGGCAGTCTGCTTCTACAATGATTTCCAAAAAATCAAACTCACTGCAATTGAATCACTTCTAACTCATAAGCAATCCAACAGTTGCCATGTGGATTTCAGAGACTAATTCTTGACAGGAGCTGAAAAACTAAGTCTTTCTCCCACAGAGAGGCTTGTGTTTTTGAACTGCTAACCCTTTGGCTAGCAGCCCCATGTGTAACCACTACACCATCAGGACTTCCTTTCATAAAGATTTACAGCCTTGGAAACCTAATGGGGCAGTTCAACTCTGCCCTATACAGAATCAACAGCAACATGTTATAAACTTTGTGTTGACATAACTCAAGCAAGGTGGCGCTGTTTGATAAGAGTTGGACTGTGGTTCAAATCCAGCAGCTACTTCACTGAGAAAGATAAAACTTTCCGATCCCATAAAAGATTTACACCTTTTGAAACCCTAAAAGGGTCACCATGAGTAAGAATCAATTTGACAGCAATAGAAATCTTCACAGAAGTAGATTGCTGTATTTATTTTTTCCCAGTAGAGCACCTAGTAGGTTTGAACCACCAATCTTTGTTTGCATATGTGTGCTTAACTGGCCCCACCAGAGCTCTTGCTGGGTATAGCAGTAGCCTGAATTTTCATTTCTTTTCCCTTAGCAGCAAGGGTGGTCCTGCATTCTGTTATTTCTTGGCCTTTCAACAATAGCTACTTGTCTCATTCATAGTGAGTGTCAGTCTTCTGTCCTATGAAGTATTGATTTACACTTTCTGCTCTCATTGTCACCACACATCATTACTACTTGCCACAATAAAAAACAAAAGAAAACCCATTGGAACAAATTGATTCCAATTCTTCAAGATGCTGTGTAGGATTTCTGAGACTGTAAATCTCTATAGGAGGTACCTTCATCTTTCTCCTATGAAGTGGCTGGTGGGTTTGAACCACTGACTGTGTATAAAGCCCAATGCCTAACTCCACAGCACCACCAATAGTCTTCTTGATATTCCTCAAATGTAATACATAGTCATGCCTCTGTGCTTGTTCTGTACTCTTCTACCTGGAAAAGTTCTCTCTTAGGTGTTAATTTGTGTGTGTGTGTGTGTGTGTGTGTGTGTGCCTGTGAGAGTTGAGTAAAGGTTTACGGGGCAAATAGATTTTTCCATTCACTCCATTCACTCTCAGGTATTTTGATCAGTTGTTCCCTCATGCTACTCAAATCTTAACTCAGCCATTTTTAAGCTTTTCTAGATTATTTATTTAAAGTTGCCTCCTCCTTCGGTGACATCTTAGATATCTCTTCCCTACCTAATTTTTACTTCTCAGTATTGACTTATTGTGTGCACATAATATGTCAGATACTATTCTGGGCACTGGAATATATTGATGGACCAAATGGACAAAAATATCCCTGCAGTTTGAACTTACATCTTTGTGAGGATACACAACATCTATGGTGATACTAAGTTATTTGAATCCATAGAAAAGGAAATATAAAAAGTTATTTGAGCTTTTTTTGGCTTGAGGAGACACAACTTGTAATCTCCTTGTACATTATTTTTCCAATACTTAACTGCCAGTCTTGGATTTCACATTGGTTTTATTAATTTTTTGGAGTGTTTTGAGTAATTTTTGTGTTGCTTACATAGGTGATAAACTTTATAACTTGTATAATCTAAAAATATCTTGGATATAATATTGTTCTAGGTTTTTTAGTAATATAAATTTTTTCTGGGTTGTAGAATTTTACATTATTTCTATTTCCTTGATACATTTTTTTTATTGTCTGGTTCTTTTTGTTTTTAATGCACATTTATAATTTTCATAATGAAAAATTCAAATTACTATGTTTTAAGTATGAGGGAGCTTTAAAAAGTTTGTGGGAAAATGGAATTTTTATATAAACTGCTTAAAGCATGCTTAAGGGTTATAATAAAGTCTGGGTAACTTTATGCCACAGTGTACAAAGGTCTGCTTCTTAGAGAATCATTGACTTCTACTTTCCTTCAATAAATAGATATTCCAAACATATTTCATATATAGTCAAGATCACTTGTCATTCAGTGGAAAAATAGTGTCTATACATACTTCAGAGACCTTAACACCACTATATCCCTAAACACTATAAATAAACAGCTGGCACTCATACTGTTGATCCTGAGTTAATAAGGAAAAACGCTAAGTCACCTACTGAAGACAGTGATTTTTACTTTCCCCTTATTTTTCTCCCAGTTCCTAGTAGAAGTTAGGTTTATACTAAGCATAATCAGTGAGCTCAATAAATGTTTTTGAGTGACACATTGTTGTTGCTAGGTGCCATTGAGTCCAGTTGTAACCTATATACAAACAAAGCACTCCCTGGTCCTGTAGCATCCTCACAGATGTTTGTGTGAGCCCATAATCTCTGTGTCAGTCCCTCTCACTAAGGGCCGTCATCTTTTTTACCTTCAAACATGAAGCCATGCTCCTTTCTAAAGAGTAGTTTGGCTGTACTTTTTCTAAAATAGATTTATTATTCTGGTCAAATATTATTCTGGTAGTGTCAGTATTCATTGCCAGCACCATAATTCAATTCAATTCAATCAATTCTTCTCCAGTCATCTTGACAGTGGTTCAGACTTCACACGCAGATGAAACTCTTGAAATACCCTGACTTGTGTCAGGTGTACTTTAGTCCCCAGAGTGACATCTTTGCTCTTTAACCCTTTAAAGTGATTTTTTGCAGCACATTTGCCCAATGCAGTACATTGATTTCTTGACTGCTATTTTCATGTGTTGATTGCAAATTCAAGTAAAATGAAATTCTTGGCAGTTTCAGTCTCCATTTATCATGATGTTGTTTATTGGTCAAATTGATAAAGTACATGTATTAATAAAAGTATACATATATATCTACCACATTTAAAAATTGCTGTATGATATTTTGTTGCATGTTTATAATAAAATTAAAGCAAGCCCTTAATCCCTGAGTTGTACAAATGGTTAACTGCTCAGCTACTAACTGAAAGGTTAGTGGTTTGAATCCATCCAGAAGTACCTTGAAATAAAGACTTGGTGATCTCCTTCTGAAAGATTGTAGCCATTAAAAACCGTATGGGATGCAGTTCTATTCAGAAACATGAGGTTGCCATGAGTTAGCATCAGCTTGATGTCAGACTGCTGGTTTGCTTTTTTGGTTTAATGATTGGCATTAAGGGTGTGTCCCCGTTTTTTTTTTTTGTATTTGTATTACTCAGGTGGGTGAGTTTAGGCATATAGATTTGTGCATTTGTTTTAGTTAGTCTTTCAGATAATCCCAAGCCTTGAAGTTGCTGAGTGCAAAAGGTATTTTCGCTTGACTTCCCAAAAGGGTTGTTCTGACATACTCTTACCACAGAAGTATGGGGTGATTTTCCTCCACATTCTCACTGATGCTGGATAGTCACACATTTTCTAGTCTTTACCAATGTACTGATGAAAATATATATATATATACTAATTAGAAGTAGATTTGGGAGACCATGTAGAAAAAGAATGGAAACTGTGGTAGCAATTGTACTATTCTACTGATGTGACTGAAATATGGAATGATTCGATATGTATTAAATCACTACTACTAGGCATTGTGCCCATAAGGGGTCATTTAACAGTCTATGGTTGTAGCCCATGAAAAATATAATGAGGACTTAAACTAGGAAAATGGTGGGAAAAGCAGATGAAATGTACACATCTTTTTTCATGGAAGTTTCCCTTGACTTTTGCCCCTTGTCTTTCTACTACCTTGTACATATGTATAAAATACAGGGCCTCCTAATGAAAAACCCAATTATTAAAAAAATAGATTTGGGTATCTTTTCAAATGTTGAACAGTCTCTCATGTCTTGTTAATCTCTTTACTTGGAATAGTTCTTGTTCTTTCTTTTTTTTCAAAGACTTTATCATTCTTCAAGGCCTATGTCAAAATCCATTTTCTCCAGTATTTCGTTTTTCATTAACTTTAGTCTAAAATATTTTCTCCCAATTTATTTAATGAGGATGCTGGTGCATTCCGCTACTAAATAAAAGGTGCCCTCCATGGGATAATAGTGTGATTCTGGTTCTGTAAAGATATCAAACAGCCTTGGAAACCTTATGGGGCAGTTCTATTCTTTCTGTCCCATATATTTGCTGTCAGAATTGTCTTGATGGAAATGGGTTTGGTTTTTGTGTTTCTGGTAATTTATTTAATGCTTTATTCTCCGTTGTTACAATTGTATATAAGTCCTAATATGTATAATTTTCTTCTCTAGGATTTCCAAATTTATAAGATGATTGCATATTGACGAACCGAATAGTATACGCCTATCTTCTTTCACAATGGAGGCAAGTTTGGCAGATGGTGGGGAACCAGAACGAACTTTGGTAAGTAGTTCAATTATAGCACTATAAGATGCTATCATTACAGTTATGACAATTATATAAGCGATAGTTTTATTTTAAAATATGTTTAAGATAAATGTATGAGTACTCACAAATAATACTTTAAATAATACATGAACTCTTCTGCTGTTATGAAGATGACAAATAGTGTGAAGTCTTTTGGAGCAAAACCCAATTCATTTTCTGATTATTTCTGCCTCTGATTTTCTTCTCCCCAAGATACTAGTCATATAATGTAAGGCATACTGATAAAATAATGTGTGCTTAGATTTATCCCCAAAGTTTTTTGTTTTCAGTGAAATCATGAGGAGGATAGCAGTTGATGAAATTAAACGCTCCAGAACTCAAATCACATGCATTTTTGAGCAAGTGGGAGCAATAAAATAGTTAAAATAAGAAGAGCAGTTTCTATCTATGTCCTTTCTATAAAAATCTAAAAGTTTAAAAAGCATAGCTGTCCTATGATTGTAGTTTGTTTACTGAAATTAAGAAAAGTAAATAAGATGGTAGTAAATGATAACTTTTACTGTACATAGAGGTTTTGATGTAGAATATTTTCAATTTCTATTTTATTATTTTGGGTGATTTCACTAAATATATTGGCTTATAGACTTTTTTTAGTTTACTAGTTTTTTTTTTAATTATCTAAAGTGGGATTCCCTTTGTATAAAATGTACCCAGCTGGTAGCTTTTTGTTTTGTTAGGTGGTAGACTCTTCAACAAATTTATATTGTTGATCTGAGTATCATTTCATCTTGGTGTTTTTGTGTGTCCTCAAATCTATTCTGACTCATAATGACCCTGCAGCACAGAGTAGAACTACCTCAAAGCTTTCTGAGGCAGTTTTCTTTGCTGGAGCAGATCATCAGGTCTTTTCTCCACTGAAGCCACCGGGGTCTTTGAACTGCTGCCAGCCTTTCAGTTCACAGCCAAGCACTTAACCGTTGTACCACCAGGATTCCGTATATTATTTTGAGGTCTTAGTAAAATTTAATTTAGTGAATGTCCTTCATATGCAAAGGTAGATGCAGTGTAATGATTGATAGCAGAATACAATTTTGCTGACTTGTATTATCTTAGTTTTCAGCTGTTCTTGAATTTATGGCTCATGTTTATTTAGGTTTCTTAAATGGTAAAAAAAAAATTAAACTTTAGAATAATAACTCAGTAGATAATAAGATGGCCATGGAAGTAGCTTAGTTTATTAAGAAATTTAAAATCAGTGATTATAAATGGAAAACTTATAGTAGGTTGTTTTGTTTTTACTAAATTAAGAAAAATTAAAATTAAAGCCATGTCTTGAGAGCATGGTTTTTACCATACATTTTTTTATTTAATGTTAATGGACTGCCTTAGGACATATATTTAGGTGATATATTTTTCAACTCTTAATGATAGATGATAACGTACATTTTTGGAAAGCCACAAGGATAGTTCTACTGTCCTATATGAGCCAGAATGGACTCGACTGCAGTATGAGAATGCTAATAAAAATCCTAGTAAGAGTACTCCGAGCTGCTATTTTCTAAGTGTGTACCTCATCAAGCTAGTCCTCTTAAGAGTCATTAAGTTAGGTGTTTATCTGTACTTTTATAGATAAGGAATTAAGCTCATGGAAGCTAATTCTCTTTTCTGAGACCTTGCAACTTACATTGTGGAATTGAGGTTTGTCTGTCACTGAATTCTGTACCACTAAGGTACTGAGGGCACACATCGTATTCCGAATAGAATTGCTTAAAATTTAATTTTACCTTTTAAAGTCCATATCTAAGTTGTTAGAATTAAACACTACAGAATAATTATGCTGCATTAATAAAATTTAAATTAATTTTTATTTAAATTAAGTTGTTACTGAGACTAGATCAAAGTTATTTAAATACTAATGAAAGTGCCTCGTTTCCTTGATCTTTATTAGTTTTCATCTAAGCATTATAGCTCTTGTTAGAGGGTAATTTCAATGTCAACCATGGAACTATTCTGTAATTGAAATTAATTTTGAGTTCCTTTTTAATTATTTATGGAATATCACCTTTGAACTGAATGACTGGTCCTGGTTACTGTTTAGATATGAGAGAAAATGAGTTAGAGCTTGGATCTGTTATTCAGCTACTTGTTAAAATCTGATCTCTGTCATTTAGTTTTATGACTTAAGATAATTACTTAACTTCTCCTGGTCTCTAGTTATCTCAACTGTGGGAACGAATTTGAGTGAGGGTTGTTTTGAAGAAGCCTTGGTGGATTAGTGGGTTATGGTTGGGCTGCTAACCACAAGGTCAGCAGCTAGGCTACCAGATGCTCGACAGAAAATAGGTGAGACTTTGTGCTCCTATAAAGATTTACAGCCTCAGAAACCCAAAGGTACACTATTTCCTATAGGGTTTCTATGAGTTGAAATTGACTCCATGGTAGTCGGTTATATAGCTATTACAAATATTAATTGAATAATATATTGATAAATACCTATCACAATGCTATGTCCATTATAAGTATATAATACTTAAAAGCTGCTGTTTTATTGTTAATTACTTATTACTATTAAGCATTCTCTTTAAAAAGATAAATAATTAGAAGACAGAGGAAGCAGTAAGATACTGAAAAACACTTGACTACTTAGTAACTATGACTCTTTCTCTGAATTTCTGTTTTTCTACCTACAACATAGAACTAAATATTTTACTTCAGTAAGTACATATATAGGCAAGAATACATATTCTTTCTATTTGATAAATCTATTATGATACACTATATGCAAATATGAAACAATGTGTTAGAGTGAGGGAGTGTTAGGGTGTCTTGTTTGTTTTCATCTGATTGCATAATATACCTTTTTTCCCCTGAATACTTAATTTGTATGAAGATGATGGGATTGCTAGAGAAATGGGGGATTGCTAGAGAAATGCATTGTGTCCTGTGTGAATTACACTTATTTGGAAAAACTGGATAAAGGGATTGGTAGAAAAAGCAAGCGCAGCATTTACTTGGGTAGTTGGAGCAGCTTTCTTAGGAGGCCATAAACTTTGAATTACACAGGTAAGTAGGGATCATAGGTTTGGAAATGAACAAGGAATGCATTCTAAGGTAGAGTAGCAGGAGGCAAGGTTTAGTGGGCAATTGATTCCTCAAGGTTTGTTTTTGTGGTTAGGTGATCTTATGTATAACAGAACAAAACACTACCTGGTCCTGCAACATCCTCATAATAGCTGCCCAGTGTTGCAACAGCTGTGTCAACCATCT